TTATCTGTCAGATAAAAAAATATCTATACCTACTTCCTAGGGTTGCTGGGATTATTAAAACAGTGAATATATGCAAAGTGGTTAGCACAGTTCCTGGCACACATTAAGTACTATGTAAGTGTTAACTGATATGAGGAATTGGGTTTTAGCAATTGATGAAGTGACCAAAGCAGCAGCAAGTATTTCAGCTATGTACATCCTTTGCTTATCCCTGCCCAAAAAGCCAGTGCCAAAGACTAGCTGCCGGCAGGATTTTGGCCCACCATAAGGTGCACTGTTCCTCTTAGCCACAAGCCTGCTTCTAGCACTTGCTCCTAAGGTGTATGAGATGAGGACTTTCTTGATCCATCCAGCAACAATTTCCTTGGCACAATAGGTTAATGCACTAGGAACTGAGCCCACATTTCCTTGCCCATTAGTTGCTGGGAAGAATGTGTCAAATTATTTTTTAATAAGCCATGAAATAATTAAGCCCCTCTCCCTCTTTTCTGAGTTGGAGTCTCACTCTGTTGCCCAGACTGGAGTGCAGAAGCATGCTCACAGCCACTGCAGCCTCAACCTGCTGAGCTCAAGTGATCCTTCTGCTTCAGCCTTCCAAGTAGCTGGAACTACAGGTGTGCGCTACCACACTCGGCTTATTTTTTTTATTTATTGTAGAGACGAGGTCTCACCAAATTGCCCAGGTTGGTCTCAAATCCCTGGGCTCAGGCAATCCTCTTGCCTTGGCCTCTCTAAGTGCTGCGATTACAGGCTTGAGCCACTGCATCCGGCAAGTCCCCCTTTTTTTCTGACAACTATTTCCAAAACTCAGGGCTCCAGGCCTCGTTAATATGTATCCAGCACTTCATCCATAGACACATTCACTGAATAACCTTTGTACTACTTATTGAAGGGGCCAAACCATTCAGACCCTCACAACTATCATTATATTTGCCAATCTTGGGCAGACTGGGCAGTGGGCCTGAGGGAGAGTTTCCTACAAGGCTGGAAAGAGGAAGGGAAGGTAGCCTGAATAGATTCATTTCAAAAAGCTAGAAATTATGTAAGACATCTGTGAAAATGTGGTAAATGACAACTGTCCATTAAAAAGCCAAAACAATTTTTTAAAATCTTTTTTATGAGTTAGAGTCTCACTTTGTCACCAAGGATGGAGTGCAATGGCATGCTCATGGCCCCCACAGCCTCAACCTGCTGGGTTCAGGAGATCCTTCCACTGATTACAGGCTGAGCCACCGAGCCCGGCAATTTTTTGATTTTTTAAAAAATATTTTATTTTAGGGCCAGGTGCAGTGGCTCAAGCCTGTAATCCCAGCACTTTGGGAGGCCAAAGTGAGGTAACTGCTTGAGCCCACAGGTTTGAGAACAGCCCAGGCAACCTGATGAGACCTCGTCTCTACAATAAAAAAAAAAAAAGTTAACCGGGCACAGTAGTGCGCGCTTGTAGTTCCAGCTACTTGGAAGGCTGAGGCGAAAGGATTGCTGGAGCCCATCAGGTCAACGCTGGGGTGGCCGTGAGTGTGACTCCAACTCAAACAAATTTTTAAAAATTTTAATATGTGGGGTACAATTCAGGGTTAGGCATACAAATGTTCATTATGCAGGTACCCTTGTTGATGAAATGTGCCCCCTCCCTGGTAGTTTGCCATTATTGCCAATCTAACTGATTTATTGTAGGGACAAAGTCTTGCCAAGTTGCCCAGGCTGGTCTCAAACCCCTAGACTCAGGCAATCCTCTTGCCTCGGCCTCCCAAAGTGCTGCGATTACAGGCGTGAGCCACCATGCTTGGCTTAAAAAACAATCTTAATATTAAAAAAACGCTTATATCTGAATAGCAAATGACATTTTACAAAGCAATTTTGATGCTTTATCTTATTCTCCCTCCCCTCCCTACACACATCATTTTACAGGTGAGAAGAAAGAGGATTGAGAGGTCAATGGCTCTAGGTGGCAAAGCTGAAAGTTTAACTCAGGTATTGCCTCCAAATACAGCACATTTTCCATTAAAAAAAAAAGAGAAGAAAATATGCTTTAAAAATCAAAGATTAACAGGATTTAAAAAGCTACAGGAATATAGAGACTGAAGTATAAAATTGCAATGTGACCAGTTTTAGTGGAGCAACTTGGGTTTTTTGGCAGTCAAGGGGTCAAGAACAGCAGAGTTTTTCAAGAAAAAAAGGCCCCTCCAAGCAATGTAAGGTGGGACAGGCAGTGATGTGTACCCACATACAAACCTTTGGACCAAGTTTTAAGCTACTGTAAAATCCTTTTGTATTTGATTAATTAAGAATTAAATGAAGCCGGGCTCGGTGGCTCAGCCTATAATCCTGCACTTTGGGAGGCTGGGGTGAGTGAAGTGCCTGAGCCCGCAGGTTCGAGACCCGCCTGGGCAACTTGGCGAGAGCTCATCTCTACAAAAAATTAGCCGGGCGTGGTAGCGCGCGCCTGTAGTTTCAGCTACTTGGAAGGCTGAGGCGGAAGGATCGCCAGAGCCCAGCAGGTCGAGGCTGCAGTGGCCTGGAGCAGCCACTGCACTCCAGTCTGGGAGATGGAGTGAGACTCCAACTCAAAAAAAAAAAAAAAAAGGATCAAATGAATTCAATGGGTTGAAGAAACAGATCACACAAATGCTACCTCTAATGTATGGGCATTATCAAGTCCACTGCCAAGAACAAAATAGTCTTTCAATATACATTTGTTGCTTTGGTTGGACTTTTATCTATATATTAACAAGGTATAGTCTTATTCAAACCTCCGACAAATATCCTCCCCAAATTAGGTACTGTCGTAAAATATCAGTTAAACTCATGTAGGAATTGCCAACCTTTTGTGAATTGTTTAGGTCAAGATGAAAGTAGAAACTTATTTCCCATAACCAAATTGCTTCCATATTATTTTGATGTCAAACTGAGACCTTTCCAAAGAAGAGGCTGAAATATCAATCATATCATACCAAAGTTTATTGATTACATCAAACAAAAATTTCTGTAATGAAAAAGGCAAGTTGCATTCATAAAAGACAGCATTCACATTCATTTTAGAAAGCAACATAGATGTAAAAAATTGCTTAGGTGAAAAATGTAATATTGCAGTACCATTTTGCAAGCTGAAAAATGACTTTGTCAACAATTGCATAAAATCTGCACATTTAAATACTGCATGTTATTAAAAAATTCCATCAGTAAATTATTATGAATTTTGTAAATTTAGGCTTACATTTATACTGTTGCTGGTGTATATGTGGTACGTATGGAATGAATGGTTTCAGTTCAGAAGGTAACATCTTCAAACAATGGACAACAATTGTGAAAATTACAAGGACATTTTGAAAGCTCAAAATTATATGATCCTGTTATTACATTTTTCCTTTTCTGTCACAAATAGGGTCGTTAGATTGCAGTGCTGGGAATACTGGACGGCGTATTTTACATATCTGCTAACCTCACACTAGCCATTTTTCAGATCTTTAATAAAATATATTTCAAAAAGGAAAAACAGATGCCTCTCAAGGATCTAGGCCATGATATTATGCTCACTGCCATTCTGTACTTGAGCTGCAGTGTACAGTGTAATGTGTAGCTGAGACATGACTCTAAATCCCCTTTACTCCTTGTCTCACTTTCTTTCTGACTTAGAAGAATTTTACATGCAACCAGTTATATCTCTACTATCATGGATATTTTGATTATGTCAACCCTCCAATGGTTCTGCATAAAATAAGCCTCTCTATTGTGGCTCACTTGTTTATATTCACAGTCTTTATAGTTCTTATGTGAAACAATAATAATAACAAGACAGCAACAACAACTATAAGAACAAGAACAATAAAATACCAAAAGCTTTCCTGGGTTAGACTTTTTAGCTCTTTGGAAAAGGGAAAGGAAATAAAGGCTTTGTTTTCAGCAGCTTACCTCAAATACAGGCTACCAGAACACAGCACGCTTACGTAAATTGTGAATGACATGTAACAAAATGCTCAAAAATAATACTGATAGATGAGAACAAATGAAATAATGGAAAAGGGCCAGTAATGGTGGAATGGCTTCTGATAACTGAAATTATGTCCCTTTTAGAATTAAAAAAAAACTTGTACTAAACATAAACATAAAATATATGTAGAAAAATCACATGTGCCATATGGACTATATAAATATATCGATTGAGATAAACTCCAATACTCTTCTAAATTAGGGTACAACACAAACATTAATAATAGTACAGGCATGCCAGAAAGACAAAAAGGGAAACTGGTATGAAAATATCTTTTAAAAGATCATTTCAATCTAGCAGTCAAATGTGGTCATTCAGACCCCAAAAAGTGTGTTTAATATTGAAGACATTTCACATTAATTTTTATGTTTTAAGTGAACTCATTAGGAGGCTAAAGCCTCCTTCTAGTCAAGCAAGTCAAGGACTTTACCTAGGTCAATCTCATGGTTTAGAGTTAGACCACTGCCCTGACCAAGTTAGCTATGAGCGACAACATTCATGTTCAGAGTCATGGCTCTACAGGCTAAACCATCATTTTGGGATGGATCCTTGCCCTTCTAAATTGGCAAGTTAAAAAAAAAGTGCTGAATATATGCATAAATGCAACCTCTTTCAAATAAGAACCGTTAACAGTTTAAAATAAGCTATTCTTCTTTTCCACATGAAATTATAAAAGGCTGATATTCAGAATGGCCCATATTTGTGTATAACTATAGTAATTGGAAATGTTTTATGTTTTATTTTCTTTTTGTCTTTTTCTTTTTTTTTGAGTTGGAGTCTCACTCTGTCACCCAGACTGGAGTGCAGTGGCTGCTCCTGGACACTGCAGCCTCGACCTGCTGGGCTCCGGCAATCCTTCCACCTCAGCCTTCCGAGTAGCCGGAATTACAGGCATGTGCTACCACGCCCGGCTGATTTTTTTTTATTGTAGAGATGAGGTCTCACCAAGTTACCCAGGCGGGTCTCGAACCTGTGGACTCCGGCAATCCACTCACCTCGGCCTCCCAAAGCCTGGGATTACAGGCTGAGCAACCGAGCCCGGCTTATACTTTATTTTCAAGTCTAGTAGCCTTACACCCATAAGTGGGGCTTAATCCAGAAGAACAAAACCAAAATAAATATTTTTTTTCTTTGCTCTCACAAAAATACCCAGAGTTAACACTTTCTCCAGAAGTGTTAAATGTATTTTTTGGCATGGATAGTTACCAAGACACAAGTAGTATGTAGGTGAACAGAAAGGATTAACTATTCTGTCTGATGCAATGATACCATTCAGTCCTTCTGTATTTTCAAGTATTCCTTACTTATGTTTGAAAAAAATAATTTAAGATCATTCAGCAAGAATGAGAAATGTGATCCAAACAGCCTATTTCTTCTGCCAGGCAAAAAAAAGTAATATTAGCAAAATCTATTCATTTTCATTGCATAACTTCTACTTCATACTATTGTATTTAAATCCATTCACATAGTTCATGGGTTAAGAGAGCACCCATTTGGTGGTTAAATTATTCTATCTGAAGCCAGAATTCTAAGTATTCTTGCTTTCAACTGTCATGTAATTCTTAACTTACAGCTTTGGCCATAAAGCCTACTCACAATAATTGTAAATGCCTAAAAGAATCTTTTGGTATTTTAATGAACATTTATTCTGAACCCTAGACATAAGAGAGTGGTTTAGTTTGTTGCATATCAAGTATCCTGAGATGATAACTTTTTGTACTTGTTTCTTCATGCTTTTCTTTTTTAGATGTAACCACTGTCAATATGCTTGTAGGACAATAACATAGGCAGTTCGAGATTCGGATTCTGAAAAATTTAAAATATACAGAGTTAAAAGGTTTATTTTAATAATAATGCGAAACCATCTGTTTAGCATTTTCAAAAATAAATCAAGTAGTAAATTATGTTATGAGAGTAAAGCAACTGTCTTAACATAATGCCAAGTTTTATTCACATGCATGGGGGAAAAAAAAGAGTGACACTATAACCAGATTTTAATCCTTTCTTCATTTGCCAGCTGAATAGATTCAGGCTTGCTTTTTACTTTTGGATTGCTCCAGGGTTCTCCCAATATTTTCTGCCACTGGGATTTTCTACCATAGCAGAGGTTTAGCTTGCTATAATCTCTTCCTCTAGGCTGGGAGCTCCTTGAAAACAGGGGCATTTTATTTATTTCCAGCATCTAGTATTAATGTCTGGCACATAGCAGATACTCAGGAAATGTTGAATGAATGAATGGATCACTTTTTTTGGATGTACTAATTTTGACAGAGGAAATCTGAAGATATATTCAACTTTGGAAGATTATTGTGAAAATATTCTTCCTTTACTGAAAGAAGCCCGTTTCCTCTTTACAATATTGAAGTTAATTTTCTTTTTGGTAATCATGTATCAATGAGTCAAATGACTCTTCTAGTATTCCCTATGTATCACCTTTTTAGAAGAGGAACCATAAAAATGTTTCTAACAAATCTGTAGATTCTTCTCTGTCCTCTAAATATAAAATGCTATGATCAGGATAGGTCATGACAGACAAACTGATCACCAAGTGTAATTCAGGTATTTTGAGAAGTAGAACTTGCATGTCAAGGGAGGGAGCCTAAATTTGATCATCTACTCTAAAACTCAGCCTTTTTTAACCTGAGTAATGGAAGTTCTTAAGTAGTGGGCTATTTTCTTGCTTTTCTGGGATACCTCCCTTGCCACAGTAGGACTAGAAATACATTAGAATACCTCCCATTTCTATTTATGTTCCACATTCTCTAGGTTCACTATTAAGTCTTTGGGTAGTTTTACAGTGTCATAGTGACTCTAACCAAAATAAGGTTGCCACTCACATTGAGAATGTATGAAAGGAGTCAGGTAGTTCCCTTACCAACCAAGGAACAAAGTAGGTGGCTAAACTTACTGCCAAATATTTTCCTTGATGGATAAATAATGCCACATGAAAATATATTCCTGGAAGAAATAACTACATGAAAAAATAAACAATTATTTAAAAAAAAAAAATGCTTCCTCAGTTCTATGTTAGACATTGCAGGAGATAAGGCCCTGGAGAGGCCAAAAGCAGTAGCAGTGTCCACTACCCAGCCTAGGCCCCAAACCACAGAGCAAGCTAAATAAAGCAATCCAGGGGGGTACAAAATTAACTGGAAATAATATAGCTAAAATGCATCACACAGCTTAGAGCAAGGCAATCTGGGACAAAAGGGTCAGACTTTGAAGGCTACTTGTGAAGTAGATTCATTACCGAGGGAAAATGCATACAGAGCCGGGCTCGGTGGCTCAGCCTGTAATCCGGCGCCTTTGGGAGGCTGAGGTGAGTGGATTGCCTGAGCCCGCGGGTTCAAGACCCGCCTGGGCAGGCGAGACCTCATCTCTACAATAAATCAAAAAATCAGCCGGGCATGGTAGCACGCGCCTGTAATTCCGGCTATTCGGAAGGCTGAGGCGGAAGGATCGCCGGAGCCCAGCGGGGGTCGAGGCTGTGGTGGCCGGGAGCAGCCAGTGCACTCCAGTCTGGGCGACAGAGTGAGAGTCCAACTCAAAAAAAAAAAAAAAAAAATGCATACAGATGAGTTGTTCAAAAATGGGTAAAAATATACTAATTGTAGCAAAATGAGTCTGTAATGAACTGTAGGAGATAGAAAAGCAATGTATTCAGTCCATTAGCTTAATTTTTATTCTTTGCCAAAGGGTGGAGTAGTTGATAGCTGATAAAAAAAAAAAAGTGGACCTATGAGGTAACTCAGTTGCTAGCTTCAAAGTGAACTGACCCACAATTTTATTCATGATCATCATGAATTTTTATGTGTGCATGAAAGAAGGTCCTGCCCTAAGCTGTATAGAGTTGCTTCCAAGCTGACAAGCTGGTAAGCCTTGTTCATGAATTACTATAAATTTACATGGATGGATAAAAGACCTCCAGCGATCTGGAGTGCCAGAAGCCCCTGCTGTGTGAAACACAGAGGGCATATAAAGGAGTCCTTCTAAGTTCAAGAGTTCCTCCCATGGCATATTAATTCCTCCCAAACATTTTTGGCGTAAATGAAACGATATGTTATAAAATAAATTTATTTTAATTTAGAAACATTAATTATGAAGCATTTTATATCAAAAGGCAAGCATCCCCCTGAATGGCCAGGAAAAAATTTTACCTCTGAAAGTTGAAACATTTAGCTTGAATAAAACTTGACATTAAAATAGTTATGATTAGAGTAGACTGATTCATGAATATATATTTGGGGACCAGACATTTACAAGAACATTAAGTGTATACAGTATCTGCAAACACACAGACACAGCACATGAAGGTACAGACACATTTCATTATTTTCACATAATTTCCAAAAGAACATGCAATGCTAAACTGACTTGATATTATACAGATGCAATTTTGGAATATTTGTTCTCAATTTTCCAAATGATCCTTATAAGTCAAAATTATATTTCTCATCAGCATTGACAAACATTTTCACATGATGGCATTGCCATGACAACTTGCCCCTTGCATATTAAATATATTGTATTAGCATTCAGCTCTGAAAAACATCTAAAATTTTATTTGGGGGGGCTCAGCAAATTTAGAATGTGTATTTCCCCATATTCCAAGTAATGCATCTTTATATTTTTTGCAAAGAATAGTATAAAGTTCACCACACCAACAGCAGAGAAAATTTAGAGAATGATATTTTCATTTTTTCTTTATAATGCTGTTAATCTGTTTCTTTAAAGCCAGCCCACTTGTTCAACACTAGGTACCTGTTACAATACATTAGATTCGTCTGAGAATGTTCGTAAAAGAAGAGGTCTGACTGAAGGTCTGGCGGATAATGAGTCAGATGCCCTTCTACAGCTCAGATTTCTCTGTAATAGTGAGGCAAAGATACTTAAAGCATTTGAAAATTGGTTAACCTACCTGGTGATAAAAAATGTAGAAAAAAAATCATTTCCTATAGACTACTCTTATTGCCCAAATTACAAATAATTACACTATATAGCAAATGCATAACATTCAAATGAATACATTTAAAAGCCTATGAAAGTCTTCAATTCCGACTGTTTTCATGGTAGAAGTAAATAGACAATAGAAGTATGTGGCAAACTTGGGTTTTTGAAATGGCACTGGTAGGTTATATGGTAAGATGAGTCAATATGGTTTGATTAGTAAACCTTACCATCCTTTTGGTGAACACCTCTGAGAGTTGTGCCGGTGCTGTTAGCGTATCAAACAAAGAGAAATTTGTGCAAGCCATTCCTGTCCTGGTGAACAGACTAGCTCTAACACGCCATGGCTACTGCATACAGACCTATATAGTCCAAGCTTTTGAGAATTAGTTACTCTCCAGTATGACAATTTGGAAGGTGAACAAATGATACTAAAAAATAACAAAATACTCTCAGTATAAATAGAAGGTATATAAAAATGAGTCATGAGATGTAATTTTTCATAAAGAATCAGAAAATGGTGTCAGGCAAATAAGAATGCAAGCAAGTTGGTACATTAAGAAAGGAAATCACCTTATTCACTCCAAGAGAAACTGTGATTGCTGGAAGTTTGAGAAAGCATGAAGATAGTAGATGTTCCTGAGGAAGGGAGGCGTTTCGTTACCTTGTTCACAATTGCACAAAAGGTGGAAAATTGCAGTAGAAAAAAGAGAAATGCAGAAACCAAAAAAAGTAAATATTCTCTCAAATGTAAGACATTTAAAAAGAAACCTTGAGAATTTGAAGTTGAAATGACATGTTAGTTTTGAAGACATTACTTCCTGAAGTGAAAGTAGAGTTAGAGTTAGGAATAGTCTATTATTACGTGCCAACTACTATTTCTTTACATATCAATTTGAAATTGTTAATGGAAAAGTGAACTATTTTAAATAAAATAGTTTTAAAATACGCAGCTCATTAAAATAAGACTTATCTCTAGTCATTAATTCACTAATCTACATTTGTTCAAAATCCATTGGTTAGAGAGTTATATCCAGGGTCCATCATTGATCACCCATCTATCTTGAAGTAACTATCTCCCTTATCCAACTGCAAAAATACATTATGAAGAAACTGACTCCCCTTGGGTAACTGCAAGTTAAAAACCTAATCGAAATTAACATAATGGGAAAACATTTGGTGATACCACATTTCAGTTGCATTTGCCTCTGGATTAATGGTTAATTTCCTTTCTTCTAATATAATTTGATCAGTTTCCCTGTTTTTCCTAGACACATCTTTAGAAAGGTAGGCTAATTTTTTTCTGGGTATTATTTTTTTTCCTTTAAAACATCCAGAAAAAAAAATTGATAAAGTTTAACTAGAAAATCTAAGAGATTCTTTTTTCCCTTTTATTTTGTGTCTGAAATTATAAGGTAATTTATAGATTTGGTTTTGACACTGCCCAAGCAAAATAGAAATTGAGTAGTCAGCTATGTGGATGAGTTGAATAACTCTGCTAATCAAGACTACCCAGATTATCTACTAATTGACTAATAAAAACATGCCTAGAAAAAGAAACCAGCTAAAGTAACATATGTAACTAGCAGTCTAATAAACAATGAGACTTTCAAAAGCAAATACTTCAATTTTATTTATGTTTTGACATAACTGCATTTTTCCTGTTCACATTTTACCTCAAACGAAGAAAGTTAGTGACATGTTGGTAACACGCAAATTACTAATTGTTAAAAAGCCAGAGAATACATATTTAGTTTCTGAGAAAATTTTTAAATTGCTTCTAACTTCTATTTTCTGGGCAAAAACCTTTCAACAAGATTAACATACCAGTCTCCCATCCCCCTGTTTAATGTACAAACCTATCTATTTAAGACTACAACTATAAGCACATTTTGGTGTGCTCAAAAACTTGTGTCCAGTCATCAGAAATTAAAATATTTCTATGAAGCAGAAACTTTAGGGGTTAAGTTTAGGCATTAAAAATACTTTATAAGGAAATAAAAGGAAATATGAAAATACAGAAAGCTGTAGAAAGCATGGAGAGTATCTAAAGCAGTAAAAATTGATTCAGCTAGAAACTGGCAGTTAGAGGGAGTGAGGAAGACAGGAGATGAGCATTCCCTTGCAGTCATCTAGAGAACTTTGACATCAGCTCACTTAGCAATATGTCCAAGAGGCCAATGGATAAAGGTCCATCTCAATAGCCATGACATCAGAATTCAACTTTATTTTGGTCTAATCTGGTAAACATGGCTATTGCCCTCTGAGTTTATGGTTGTATACGACACTGTGAGAATGGCAGTAGTAATTATCATTATCACCAATATTATTATAATGATAAATTTTATTCTCCAAAATGTCCAAAGTGCTTTTGATTGGAATTTGGCTCAGAGAGCTGACACCCTTCCTTTCTCTGTCTGCCACTCTGAAAGAGTTCCCTACATAGTGGAACATAGTGGAATGTTTCTTTCTGTTTGTGCTAACATCCCATGCTAGGTATGGCCATGTTTCTGGGTTCATTCCCATTAGATTATAGTCTTCCCATGTCTAGCAGAAAAAATCAAGCCTCCCTTTTGATCATGGTTGTTTTCATGAGAAAGCTTTACATAAGGATATGTGGAAAATTCCTCTATTGGAAACGCAAAGTGGTATTTACTACTTGGCGAGAAAGTACAGGTGTATTCATTTACAGATGACCAACAACTGTGCTTTGAGGGACACAGCTTTTTGAAATATAAAAAATCCTAAACTTTAAATTTCCTTGCTATCTTGCTGTTCTCCACTGTCAGTGTTTCTCCACTGTCAGTGCTCAATGGTAGCTTCATCATAAACCATCAGCAGCATGGCTTTGCAGCTTTCTCATTTTTTTTAAGCCAAAGAAATGTCCTGTGATCCTTACCAATGGAAACTTTGCATAAAAATTAACCTCACTGCTGAAAATACAGCTGAGGGATACATGGCTTAACTACAATCCTTGGTTTAAACAACTGAGCAAACCTACTTTTGAAGATAGCAGAATTCTCTCTTTTTTTTTTGAAATGTAAAGGTTTATTAGGAGAAACAATAGTAAAGATAGCAGAATTCTATATAATAATAGTATCATGACAGAATCAGCTGTGGTGGAGGGTGCCATGCTAGCCTTTTAACTAGAGGCCTCAGGTGTGACTCAGACCTTGAAATAGCTCAGTTGTGTTATAATAAGCCATATCATTGATTCTGCTATTCTGTTTAATACCTGCTTATAGAAGTGTTCCATATAAATACCTTTTGTAACTTAACTAGATTGAGAGCTCCTTGTGAGCTGGGACCATGCCCGATTCATCCTCGAATTACCAACACCTAGTAGCTAACTCATAGTTTGCCCTCAGGCAAAGTATGCAGAATTGAATGGAGTCTGACATAAGGCTGCTCCTATAATTTTTTTTTTTTTGAGTTGAAGTGCAGTGGCATGCTCCCGGCCATCGCATCCTCGACCTGCTGGGCTCCTGCGATCCTTCCGCCTCAACCTTCCAAGTAGCTGGAACTACAGGTGCGTGCTACCATGTCCGGCTAATTTTTGATTTATTGTAGAGATGAGGTCTCGCCAAGTCGCCCGGGCGGGTCTTGAACCCGAGGGCTCAGGCAATCCTCTCGCCTTGGCCTCCCAAAGTGCTGGGATTACAGGCTGAGCCACCTAGCTCGGCCTATAATTGTTAAATATAAATGGTTTAAAGTCTTCCTCAAATGTCATAGAGACATATTTACAACCCAGTGCTAAGTATCCTTCTCAAAGCAGCTGCCAAGACTCACATGAAGACAGCACTGGTAGCCTACCTGCCACAGGTATTTCTAGCTGTGTGTAAAGTGTCCAAGATGCTAATTGGTTGAAGTTAGGGTTATCTTCTACTCTTGGTAGGGACACAGACTTTACCCCATAAGGGAGCATGTCAGGGTATGAAGCAGACCTAGTATAAAATAATTTTGCCTCTCTTTGATATGAGGCCAACGTATTAGCAAGGAATACTTAACAAAGTCGAAAGTCACCAGAATGTCAGACTGCTGGTTACTAAGCATAAAGACTAAAATATTTTGGGGAAAGTAAAATATCCTTTTTCCTTTATCTTAGACGTTGGCCTCTACCTCTTTAATATGGCAAAAATAAGGTCTTATGTAAACAGATGTGGCTTATCAGAATAGCCGTGGCTGCCATGTTTCAGTTGGCCTTTATGCATTCACATTTTACTACTTTGCTCTTGCATTTTCCCATAAGAAAGGAAAAAAAGGCAGTGCTGCTGAGTGCCCACAACATTTTGCCTCATTTGCAACTCTCAAAATCCCATAGAGTCTGAAAAACTATTTAGCCTTTCAGACATTGGATGCAAAGAGAGATGTTCATCAGTAGGCGGTTCAACAAATGTTTATTGGTTCATCGAGGATAGGAATAAATGAATGAATGATTGAATGAATGAAAATGATTATGGAATTTTTCCTGGTTGTTCTAGCACATCAGCATGCCAAGCAACAGCACAGACACTAGAATTCCTTCTACCCTGGACATAACCCATAAGAAACAAAATTCATGCTGAATCCCTGGCAACATTCTATGCTGCTAATAAAAAGGTCTGCAGTCTTAGAACTCCATAGTTTGTTTGTTTGTTTGTTTGAGTTGGAATCTCACTCTGTCGCCCAGGTTGGAGTGCAGTGGTACGCTCACGGCCACTGCAGCCTCGACCTGCTGGGCTCAGGCGATCCTTCTGCCTCGGACTTCCAGGCAGCTGGAACTACAGGCATGTGCCATCATGCATGGCTAATTTTTCTTGATTTATTGTAGAGATGAGGTCTCATTAAGTTGCCCAGGCTGGTTTCGAACCCGTGGACTCAGGCTCTCCTCTAACCTCAGCCTCCCAAAGTGCTGGGATTATAGGCGTGAGCCACCATGCCTGGGCAGAACTCCATACTTTCAACAAAAGTTCAGAATCTACTGTTTATATGGAAAGAAAATGTTCTAAGTCTTTATCTGTGACTGTCTAGTAGTATCCTGCCACTTAAAAATCTATATAAAAGTCACTTCCAACCAGTGTCTAATTTTTTAAAGAAATGGTCTAATAAAAGAAAATGACATGTTTGAAGCTTTTGTTTTCTGAGAGTTTTTGTAACAGCTCTAGAGCATGAATCTGAGTGTGAGCAGTATTTAACATGAGCTTCATTTTCCTAAATAAGAAAAGCATTTAGGAACATCCCAAAATGTTCTACCCAATAAGGAAAATAAAAGAGCAACTCAAAGATCCTCCCCAGAAAAAGTTTCTATTATAAAAAGGCACCAAATGGTTTTTTATTGCAACATTTTTTTATGTGGCTTCATGCAAATGTGTACTTGAGCCATTTTGGGAGAAGCCTGTTGTAGCAACCAGTTTTACCCCTGTTAAACTGATATTAAGATATAATCAGATAATTAAATGCCACTTTTCTACCCTAAAAATAAACACCAGGCTAGAGCAAGTTAATAAGAAGTCTATTGGACGGATTAAAGCGTGGACTAAGCCAGTTGTAGCTAGGCTAATGTTACTGTGTCTAGATCTAGCCCACAAGGCACGCAGAAGCAGAAAGTTATGGACAATTCTGACAACCTAACTCCACATTGATTGGCCTTGTATACCAAGAATCAATGTAGCTTATGCCACTGACAGTTCTGTTGCTTTTGATTGGGGTTGATACTAACTTGTAACGTGAAGCTACTCTTTTACACTTCTAATCACTGAAGAGTTTCCTACTGTAATCATTTTAGATTTCCATGTTGGTATAATAGTAACCACCAGGTTTTATCAATTCAGTAGGCAAAAATAAAATCATGACACACCAGTTTTGTGGGTAAACTGGTTGGCAAATTTGATTAAATAGGTCAGGTAGTCATGATGTAAACTATTTTCTGAAAATACTGCCCTGGAAAAGTTATAAGATCTAGTTGGTGTCAATATGTCAGAAACTAGGTTTTGCTTGCAAAAATCAGTTAGTAATGGCAAGAATATAACATATTTAATTAACCTGTTGGTCAAAATCTGTCAGAAGTTTATTTTCCACGTTCATCTCCCCCTTTCACTTTAAAGGCTTTAAAAAAATGTTCAAAACATATCATGAGAAGGCAATTGAGGAAAATAACTTCTCATTCCCACAGGAAATTTGCAATTTAATAGGCAAAAATAAAAACACACTCATAAAACAATCTTACATTTTTACAAGTGTATTCAAGAGGGTAAGGATGTAGATACCACATCCAGGGAATTCTTTTCAATCAACTATATTGCTGGACAGACAGGGCTAGAAGCAACACAGAGATTAAGCAGCACTATAATCAAAGGAAGGGGAAAGACTTGAAAGAGGCAAATTGGGATTATCAATGGAAAAAAAAAAAAAAATCTATGAGTAGCCCACAGGGAAATTTCTAAGGTTAAAGCTGAAATGTTGGTGTGGAAATTCCTGGTGTGAAAATTGTAGGCTAAATACAAAATAAAATCATTTTTTTCCTCTTAAAACTCCATATGGAGCATATGAAATACTCCATATGGATTGCTAAAGATCACATAGAACACTATTAAGGAATCTACTTACCACCTGTATTGGATAACGAAGTTTTTACTATACTTTTTTATGCAGTAGAGGAAATTAAGTGATGAACCTGTAAGGAGGGGTTTAACATGCTGTAACTAATGTAATTATCTAAATCAGGTTTTTAGTTCATGGCAGAAATCGAAGCCCCTTCCACAAATGAGATTATAATACAAACTTATTTCTTACCCTGGCACTTCTTCTTCTTACATTCTTTAATACTATCAGGAGAATTTCAGGGAAAAGGCTGATAAATATTAGAAGAATTATGGCCAACCATGTGGATACAGAAGACAGCATTTGAGCAAATACGAAATACATTCTCTGTTGCTTGAGAAAAGGCCTGAAGTGGAAAGAAAATACATAATGGAAAAACAAATCACTTCTTGTCATATGAAACAAAAGTTTAATTAAAACTGTTTTTTGTATTTAAAAGGAATCTTCCTTACACACATTAATAAAAATAATTTTCTCTAGAATATCCCGAAAGTAGTAAACAAATTTCATTTATCAAATGTTTGGACAGAAAAGGAATGATAATCAAAGGGGAAAAAAGATAATAAAATGCATTTGACTTGAAAACAATCGGGCTATCAACTTTAAAGCTGCCAAATGGCAAATATTTATGTGCATTAGAAAATGCTGGAGCTTCAAAGATATTCAAGAGAAATGATGGCTCATTTTTATCCCAACAAGCATTTTATTTCCTCAGCTGTTTTATTAAGATGAGGATGGATTTGTGCTCTGCATTCAAAAGTTTAAAAGACATTTTTATAACTCTTCCCCTCCAAAGAAAACTATATAAATATAAAAAGAACTGTAGTGTTTATCATCTCTCTCAAATGAGAGGAATCTACCATTTTCATCCACAAATAAATACTGAGTAACAACATGTGCCAAATAGGTTGATAGAACAGTGCTAACTGGATGTTAAGACTTGAAATCCAGGAATTCAGAAGGATTTTTCTTTCTGGACTTAGATGTCATTCCAAGTCACAGTGAATCGTTAAGTGGCCACTGAGAAACAGCCAGTTTCCCCTTCCCTGTCTGAACTGAACCACAGAGAGCCTCAGTTGGTTAAGTAATTGTTCTAAGTTGAGAAGGAAGAAGACGTCAGGATGCGTATCAGACTATCCTAGAATTAAGAGCTCTAGGTAGATAACTAGTCAGTCCCATTTATTAGCTGATATATCATGCTTGTTGAAGATAACCTGGTTTCTCATTTAAAAAGTAATGTCTACACACCCTTATGGAACATAAAACCAAGCTGGTGGCTCTGCTTATTTGAGGACTAGATTGTGGAAAAGTGAGCAGAACATGGAGTGGAGAAACATATGAGGCCTGGGCTATACAGGCTTTCTAGGAAAAGTCAACCATTCAGAAAAGATTTCTGCAGAACTCTACCCCATTCTAATTCTGAAGAGCACCTTGAATGATTTTCTAGGCAGTTAACTGAGCCATAACTAAGGGTCCAGCAGACTACTGACAGTTAGTCAAAGGTATTCCTTTGTACAGTACTCTCTGACGAATATCTCCAGATTTTTTGTTTTTACCTGCATGACATCTATTGAGCTTTGCAGTATGGCAGTAAAACAAACAAACAAACAAACATTTATTCCTGGATTAGATTTGGGTCTCAAAAATCATCATGAGGGGTTGAGACACCCCTCAGGGTAGAACATGTTCAGAGACATTAGCTGTAACTGTGATTCAGCTAAAGTTCACATACTTACTAGTCACTTTTTTTTTTTTTGAGTCAGAGTCTTACTGTGTCGCCCAGGCTGGAGTGCACTCACAGCCACTGCAGCCTCGACCTGCTGGGCTCAGGTGATCCTTCCACCTCAGTCTTTCAAGTAGTAGCTGGGACTATAGGTGTGTGCCACCATGCCCAGCTAATTTTTTGATTTACTGTAAAGATGAGGTCTTGCCAATTTGCCCAGGCTGGTCTTGAACCCGTGGACTCAGGCAATCCTCTCACCTCGGTCTCCCAAAGTGCTGGTATAATAGGTGTGAGCCACTGCGACTGGTCTCTAGTCACATTATACTGGTTGCTTTATCATATAGTACTTCAACTTAGCTCTACTTAAGGACAGCACTTCAGGCAATGGAATAAAAAGGACTTAATAATATTTCATTTGTTTAAGTAAGTATAACTAATAAATAGAAACAGATATGACAGTGTCTTATTCATTTAAAATATTTATTTTAATCAATAAGGAATAGTCTATGGAAAGTTTTAGAAGCTTGTTGAGTTTGTCAGGAATTTTGCATAATTAGTTTGGATACTGATTACACAGATTCACAAAATTACAGTACTCTGGGAAGACATACAATTGATGTTGATGTCATTAATCAACTTTGATTCATTTGTCTATTATTAAAGAAGATAGAGGCTTCCTTCAGCTTCGTTGCTCTCAATCATTACCTACAGAGATTCCAAATATATATCATAATTAAATTTTTTGGAGCTGGTACTTCCTTAAATGATCAGTTTTTTTCATATTTTTATTTAAGGCCCTTATAAAAAAGGTTTTTCAAAACAGTAAGAATTTCTACTAATTAAGTCTCAAATGATATAAACATGAGCCTTATATCTCTGTGATAAAATAAAATGTTTTGTTTATAAGATTTTGCTCAGGTCAGGCTCGGTGGCTCAGCCTGTAATCCCAGCCTTTGGGAGGCCAAGGTGAGTGGATTGCCTTAGCCTATGGGTTCAAGAGAAGCCCGGGCAACTTGGGAGACCTCATCTCTATAATAAATCAAAAATTAGCTGGGTGTGGTAGTGCGTGCCTGTAGCTCTGGCTGGTTGGAAGGCTGAGGCGGAAGGACCACCGGAGCCCTGCAGGTCGATGCTGCGGTGGCTGGGAGTGTACCACTGCACTCCAGTCTGGGCGATAGAGTAAGACTCCAACTCAAAAAAAAAAAAAAAAAAAGAATTTGCTCAAAGCAGTAAAAATATACACTCCTGAAACCTCACCCTATGGCTTACTCTTGCCATGCTTCCTGCTGCTGGTATCCTTGTCAGAGGAAGCCACTGAACAATGAAAACAACTTTGACATTTAAACACAAAATATAGGCCTCTGGAAGTAAGGAAAGGAGATGCAAATCTAACTTATTTGCATTCCTTATAACTTCTCCAATCAGTTTATGTGTTCCTCACTGGACTCTAATCTCCTTTAGGCAAGGTACAGTCTATTAATCTCTCTATCCCATAGAACCCTAAGCACAAAATGTATTCTGTATAACAGCTATTGAACCAAAATGAAACTGAATGAACTTTAGGGCCAAGCTGAAGAGTCTGCCTTCCCCTCCCCCTGCACCAAAACAGTGAGCTGGTGATTTCAAGATATAACCCTCTGATTATTAAGGGGTGTATATCCTATGCCTCAAACATATCTGTAGTGATAGGAATGGCAGTTATATACTATAGGGAATAGGGTCCAAATAAACAATAATATATCTATTGGCCATTCCATCAGGTAAACACTTCACAGAATGAATATTTCCTCTGAAAATCACCTGGGAGAACATGTAAAAAATTAGTTTCGCTTCACAGAGAGATGTTTATGCACCTTCAAATTTAAAGAGTTGGACAGGGGGCTACCAAAGGGAAGTCTTTCAAGTACCTCATAAAATCCATATACTTGTATTTGAAATCCCACCTGAAATTAATAGCATTACTGGTTACAAGTAACCTCCAGTCTATTAATATTAAAGACCTGCCATCTTATATAATCAAAACTTTAAAAGTATAATAAATGCTTACATATACAAAGTATATCTACGTATATCTCCTTTGTTGTTTATATACTGCTCACACATATACAGTTGCTTACCAAATAATTCCTCCCCAGAAGAATGAGAAAAATACATAAAAGGCTAAAGAACCCCAAATCACAAAGTGATTTATCCATGTCCAGAATCGAGTATCCAAGGCGAGCTGAAAAGATACAACACAAGGAATTTCATAATGTATACAAATTGCACCAGGCAGTATGCTATGATATCTGATAACCTGTATAAAATGATACCTACGGGAGGATCTAGCTTGGGCCAAGGTTGCAGAGGAGAGTAGATCTAAACAGAATCTAGGCTTTTCGAAGAGCAAGGTGAGAAAGCTGAGCTCTTGCTTAAGACCTCTAAACTCTATAATATGGGCATGGAGGTGTGGTCAAGGTAAGAAGCCGTAGGCATGGGGCTGCAGATGTCTCAGTGCTGGGGGATGGGCAAGGAATGAGGCAATGGTAATATTCAGGAAATTAAAACTCCAGTCCTCAGACAGTGGCAGTCAGGAAGATGATGGCAAAAGAAGAAGGCCTATGCATTTCGGGTTTTGCTCAGGAATTGGCAATTCCTAAATGCTCTAAAAATCTCCTTCCATATGACCCCACAATCCCCCTACTGGGAATATACCCTGAAGAACTCAAATCACTCTATAAAAAAATACCTTTATACGTATGTTTATTGCAGCATTGTTCACAATGGCAAGATCATGGAACCAACCATGCTGTCCATCAAAAGAGGACTAGATTTAAAAAATGTGGTACATATACACAATGGAATATTTCGCAGCCATAAAAAAGAACAAAACCATGAATTTCACAGCAACCTGGATGGAATTAGAGTTTATAATACTGAATGATCTCTCACAGAAACAAAGATCTGAGTATCACATGTTCTCGCTCATAAGTGGCCCTTGAACAACTACCGTAATACTATAAGACAAGGATGGGCAGTGGCGGGAAACTATGGGGGGCAGGGAGGGGAAGGGAGGTGGGATTAATGGTAGTCAATATCTGTCTGGGGAAAGGGGGGCACACCTCATCAACAATTTTAAAATAAAATTTTAAAATTTTAAAATAAAACCCCACAATTTTAAAATAAAAATATATATTAAAATAATAAATAAATAAAAAAGAAGAAGGCCTAGCTGGTGAGGGCAGGAATGCTGAAAGGAGAGAAGAGGTTTGCTGGTGGAGGCAGGAATGCTGAAAAGAGAGAAGGGGTATCTAGAGAAGGTAGACAAACTGCAAAGGTGTCAAGAAAGATCAAATACAACAAACAGGAATTACTAAATACAAAAGCTCTCTACACCTAACATCATGAAGGAACAGATCATGGGTCTGACTATGAGGT